TATCTATGTATCCATCTATCTATCTATCTATCTATGTATCCATCTATCTATCCTCCTGTACCACCTCAGGCATCTCCACCCCAGCTGGCCCCGTCCTGCCCTAAAAGTTCATCGAGGTTGAACATACTTAACATGCTATCATGTAATTGCTGAAGGTGGTTTTACTTACTGGAGCGTTTTGGGCAGAAGTAAACTTTCTCCAATCGAATCCAGGCTTCTCCCGCAGCTCCTCTCCCCGCTGTTTCTCTGCACCTTCGTTCGAGACAAACAAACCGTGATCTCACCTCATCCTCTCCCGCGGTGAAGCGTCACCATTCCCGTTTCCAGAGGCAGGAGAATGACGCGGAGCAGGGCTCGGTGCCGCCTCCCCAGCCCGCGATCCTCCCGAACCGAACCCGCCGCCTCCCTCGGAACCGCCCGAACACGCCCCTGGTTCCACCCGCTGATCCATCCCGCCTCCTTCCGCCCGCCCTTCCTTCCTTCCCCTCACCTCCTGATCTGCCGGGAGCGGGGCTCCGGCTCCTGCCGAGGGGTTCCAGCGGCTCCTCACGCCCCGGTAATTCCCCCGCGGAGCCGGCGGGAAGCGCTGAGGCGGGAGGCGAGAGGCGGGAAGGGCTGAGGGGGGCGGCGCTGAGGGCTCGGCAGGGCCGGAAGTTGAACTTAATTTTCGGGGGGGGGAGGGGAACCAAACAACTCCCCACCACCGCCACCAAAACGGCAAAAAGGTAAATTATTTATTGTGGTGAATAAATCGAAAAAAAAAATTCAGGTTTTCATCTGTAAAGCCCGGGGCTTTACGTGGGCATCTGAAAGTGTCGTGCCCACAGCCACGTCGGGGATCAGACCCAGAGTCCGCGGACTCAGGCGTCGGGCAAAATTTATTTACACCCCCAAAGGAACACTTCGAAGAATAAAATACACTAGTAAGCGTCACATCACAAGCGTAACTGTTGACCCGGTGGTGCCCTTAAGTGATTATTTAAAAATATTTGGTTGTTTGCTTTAAGCAACCGCAGTTCAGCTTTTACTGCACCGCCTCTGGGGAATAACCTAAATAACGTAATCCTTCCCTGGCCGCTGATCTAAGCTGAGCTGGAAACTTCACTTTTTTTTTTCCCTTTGTTTTGTTCTTTTTACTCTTTAAAAATCCTGAGGCAGCTGTGCCGTCTGGTAGGGGAAAAAAAATGAGCAGTTCTTCCTCATCCAACTGCTTAGTTTTTCTTAATAACCAAGATTACTGCCCAGCACAGAATAAGAGGCAGAGCAGAGGAAAAACCTGTTCCTTTTCAATCCAGATCCCAAATATTCAGTGTCCTCCCTTCCCTGTGCCTGTACAGTGTCAGGACTGGCAAGGCTGTGCCTCGATAAATAAAAATAATAAAGCAAACTGAAGGTTTGCTTGCTTTGGCAGAGGCGGTGAAATACCGTGTCGGTTCATATAAACTTATTTTTCACTTGTGGGTTCTTTTTATATGTTCAACAAACTCGTGGGTTGATAAGCTCCTTTGTAGTTCTTGTGGAATAACTTTTATCTGTGTGCAGGCTGATACATCTGTTCCATGTGCTCTTCTCCCCTGACATCAGAAAGAAAAAGGAATTAAACTGTGTTTTGCAGAAAGTCATGTTGAAAAGCAGAGAAGGGAAACATTATTCTGAGTTTCTCCCGTAGCAGAATGCCTTTTCTGCACCAGGCAGGGCTGGGCCTGTGTGCTCACACATGAAAACAAAAAGGCACTTTGCTGTCTTCCTGGAAAAGCCAGAATTGTGCAACCCTGCTATTTATTGCATCTGTTGATGGTTATAATTCCTGTCAGCCTTTTAGTTCCGGAAACAGTCTGATTCCCAGGCTGCGAGAGAGTTTTTCTGATAGGATTGTTTTGATACTTTTACCTTTTGAGGTATGTAAGTACCTTTCCTTTGGGTTTTTTTTTTCTGGGGTTGTGTAACATCATGTTAAGTACATATTCCTTGTTATTTTAAGTATAGCTCTGTGTGATTTTGTACAGGGGAGGGCAGGAACTGGATTTACAGCTCCTGTCTTCCGTAAGTTTCTAACCAGTTAAAATGCCGCCAGCTTCAGGAAAACAACTCCAGGTTTGCCCTGTATGAGAAAAAACAAATGCAGGCACTCTCTGCTTCTGGGGGGTTTGGGTGACCTTCCTGCTAAAATGTTTCTGTGCTTTGCTAGAGTTCATTTCTGTATTACAATAACTTCCTTTGTTAGTTGAAATTTCTTCGGTCAGAAGCGAAACTGCAAATAAACACGTCATTTGGGCTAATTAAGCGTTTGCGATACATGGGCTGAATGACCGAGGTGGTTTTGAATTGGAAAACAGAAAAAGTACTAAGTATTCTTGCATTTCTTTCAGCCGTGATTGACTCAGAAAGTCGGAGTCGGTGAGGGGAGATACGTTTCTTTCGCTTTCTGGGAAGTTCGTGGTGGGTGAGAAGAGTTATAGAAAGTATATTCTCCTAATGGCTGGTTACGAGTTGGGAATGCTGTGGTGATATTTAGGGCAGAAACGGCGCAGAAATCTGCAGAAATCGGTGCTTTTCTGCAGGGCTGGCTCTTGCCACAAGGGGACACGAGCCACGCGCTCTCGGTATTTCCCTGTCGCGCATGTGGCAGATGTGACGTGGTGAGAGCTGATTGATTTAGAGCCAAAAAAATCCAGGCTGGTTTTTATTTGCTTGTGCCCGGGCGATGCTGCCTCACCTGTAACAACGTGTGTTGGGTTCCAGTACCAACCTGTCCCCTCCTGCTGCTCTTCCTCCCGGCTTCACAGCCCTTTTATTATTCCAAACCACCTTAGCGCTGAGGGCACAGGAGTGGGAGCCGGTAGGTGGCAATGTGTGACCGCACATGGGAAGCCACCATTCGTTTGGGAGATTTTGGTGTTTTCTGAGTGTTTAGTGTTGGTTTGTGGGGTTTTTCTTTCTTTTTTTTTCCTTTTTTTTTCGTTTTAAGTCAGAAATTTCGTTTTGGTATTGCAAGAGCTGTTGAGGTGCTTGTAAGTTAATGGTAACAGTGGTAACTTCCAGGAGTTAGTTTGAGAAAGGCATAATGGAGTAAATAATTAGGTTCTGCAATGAGTTATTGTTTCTGTACAGCAAACAAGTGCCTCATGTTCAAACAGAAAAGAAATAGGCCCTTCTCAAAGATAGTGTGTTCCAAAGGTATCCCAGTGTATTCCACTGGATCTCAGCATGAGAGGGAAGAGAGATGCATGAGGAGGAGGTGTGTTCACTGCACTCTTAGATCCCAGTGCCAGGAACAGCTTCACTCCATGAAGCAGAGAGGAGATCTTCCAAAGGAAGAAGAGAGAGCACTGTTCCCTCTTTTTATTCCTTTGCTCCTTGTTTACTTAGGAAAAAGAAGTCTTCCATTTCCCATGTCACCTGACCTGAATAAACTGATGAGGAAGCTCACTTTGAATACCAAAGGGAACTATTCCTTACAAGATGGACTTTGTCATGCCCCTCTCCAAGCTCTTTTTTTTCTTTCTACATTACAATCTGCCCTTGGTCCTCCTTTGGAGCCCCTCTGCCTTCTTCCCTTCTCATCCTTCTTGCCTGTCTGCTATCTCAGTTTCTCTTCCATCTTCCTGCCCCTCTTGCTGTCTGCTGTTTTTCCCTCTTACTATCCTCCTGGTTGTTCTTCCTACCCCCTTTGTTTCTCCTTGCACCCTTTGTTTATTTTTTCCTCTGGACCCTTTCTCCCTCTGTCTGGATTCTCTCCCTTTTGTCCACCCCACTGCCCTTATTCCCATATGGACACTGTGGAAAGAGGTGGAGGTGTTGTGACTTAAAGTCCCTTCCAATTGACAGCTGTGTCTTTGCAGGAAGGTTCATGCAGCTTGGTGGGAGAGAAGCTCCAGTAATTCCAGCTCCACAAGATGTGGAAAAGGAAAAGGGAGGTTCAATGCCACAGACCAGGTGTTTGTTTCTTGCTCAAAATTAAATCATCTTTAAGGCCTGACACAATAAAAATCGTCAGCTCTTCCCTATTGTCCTTTTTGGAAGCTGGAACAAAACTTGGAGTCTTAAATGTGTTGGAGCATCACGTCTCCCAGAGAAGTTTGTCTTCATGAAGAAAATTAAGAGCTGAAAAGGAAAAAAAGTAATTTGTGCAACTATTTTGAAAGCCAGGAGGTTAAACGTTGCCTTCACCAGGCCCCAGATTTTACCATGGAGACTGAACCTGCCCTCTCTGTCTGGTTTGATACCAGTTAGATGGAGATAATTTCTGGGCTGAACAGAACCAACATTTTCAGCTCCCTTGATTAAACCAAGTTATTTTGAAGAGTTAAAGATGAACTGTATATAAACTCTGTTTTGCTGTTATGTAGCAGAGCCAGAGAATATAGTGGGCTTTTTGTTGTTTTGGGTTTTTTACCCCTTTGAATTGGGTAAATGTGAAGGTGCTGAAGATTCCACGTTGTGTGGCACTACAATCTCTATTCCATTACCTCAGTTTATAGCATTTAGGGGCGTGGAGTCAGCCTTGGAGGTACATACATGGCCCTTTTTCTCTTTTTTTCATTAGAGACATGTATGATTCTGTCCAAAACAGCTCGAGTAGCCTCCTTCCTACTCCGGGAAGCAGGTGCCTGTTTCATCTTTACCTTTGATTGTTCTGGAAACCCTCCCTCGGCGCATTTGCTGTCTGATGAGGTTCAGAAAAAAAGGACTTTTTATCACTGTGGGGACATAAATTGGCTTTGAGAGGAGGTGAAGGCAGCGGGTATCTCTTCCCTCTTTGCAGCCCCTTGCTTGGGACTCAAGTCTGTCCCTTACAGAAACTCCTGGTGGTTGGAAACAGCGGGATCCCACAGCCCAGGGAGCGTCGGTTTATGGCTCTGTGTATGGTCTCACAAGGGAACACTGTTCAATAGGCTTCAAAGTGATTCAGCCCTGGCATAACCGTGGCTGTGGCCACATGTAATATAGCCTGTAGCTCTTTAAAGAGGATTAGCCTTAGATCAGGGACAGCATTCATTGCTGGGTCTCATGGAAAGCAGAATATGCTAATGAAATGGAAATGTCTACAGCAAACATTGCATAGTATTGGAAACCTCAAAATTGGGCATTGTGTCTTGATATCTCTGCTGGAAGTCAACAACTTTCATGTGGTTTGTTATTTCGAGAAAAAAATCAAGTTTATAATATCACCACAAGCTCTCTATAATAAATCAAGATCTGATTTGCAGTTTTACTGGCAAAATTGAAATGATAACAAACATCTGAAGGTAACTTTTCAAACGCTGTTGAATGTTTTAATGATGTCACAGCTTTCCAGCAAAGACAAAATCCAGCCACATCTTAAAATATCTTCATTTGGGTTTTCTGCAACAGGCAGAGACTCGGTTTGATCCTGCCTTCTCTTCCCAGCTGCCCTTCCATGGCTTTAAACACCATTTTTGGGCTTACAAGACTTTCAGCATCAGTCCTGCAGACACCATGTTTCTGACATGCATTTCTGAGCCATTTCACCTTTTTAAGGCACTGTCTGTCTGTACATCCACCTCCACTGACAGTCCAGTAGGCTTCATTTGGCTCTCCTGTTTCAGTTTTATGCCAGTTTTTAAAATGCTTGAGGTTTAGTATTGTACAGATGCATAAAAAGCCCCCAGACTTCAAGGTGACCCACGATTCCAACTGTCCGACTTGAGACGTTGTGGAGGATTTTAAGCTTCACAGGAAATTTGTGACCCTAATCTGAAGC